ATAGGAAGCTGGGTGGGCCCCAGAGTCAGTATGGACGCCATAGAGGAGAAAATTGTTTACCAGCCACTGTTAACCTCGAATTTCTCTATAAACTTTGCAGTTTCAGTTGCATTGTCCAGTTCCTAAGACGTCTCGCCATATGTGAGATAGACGTAGTCAAGGGTACAGTGGGGCTAACGCAACGTTGTGGTCAAGTGGCTACACCTATATCGCATTAGGCATAGTTAAGGGTACAATGGGGCTAACGCAACGTTGTGGTCAAGTTGCTACACCTGTATCGCATTAGGCATAGTTAAGGGTACAGTGGGGCTATCGCAACGTTGTGGTCAAGTGCCTACACCTTCTAAATCGCATTAGGCATAGTTAAGGGTACAGTGGGGCTAACGCAACGTTGTGGTCAAGTGCCTACACCTTCTAAATCGCATTAGGCATAGTTAAGGGTACAGTGGGGCTAACGCAACGTTGTGGTCGAGTGGCTACCCATTCTGTGTCGCATTCTGGAGGTTTCGGAGTCGTGTCTCTGCCTGAAAATCGCCTATTCTAATTAATGTTCCATGATTTTTATTAATATCTTCAGATACACGTAAATTCCGAGTTTATATGCCAGATTAGGCCACAGTCTTTTCCTTCCACATCCTTTCCAATTCATTATTCACTAATCGCCCTATTGAAAGCGTCGTTAAATAAATGAAGACGAATATCCAGAAAGAATACGTTGACTTGTTTTGCGTTAATTTAGTACTGTGTCAGAGATTCGAGGAGTTGAAGGTTGTAGTGGAAGAACCAAACTGTGTTGTATTTAAATAACATACAAACTTGTATAGAATGGTCTGATTCAAACTATAGCTATTGTGGGTATAGACTGGAAAATTGCATAAAACCCGCTGGTAATTTGTCATCATCATTGTGACTGATTCGTTAGAACTATAAGAGAATAAGAAAACTTCTTCAGCAGTTTAACTTACGGAACTGTTTTTAACGTTTTCCGCTTTACCACTTATCGAAAGCCACTGTTTTCGAAACTAATTAGAGAGAATGACTCACGATTTAAATGCAGGACGGAGTGATTTATGATGGTGTGAAATATAAATAAGAGCGAATCCAGTTTTTCCTCTTTTGTTGTGGACTTTTCCCAAATATCTCTTGAGTTTTGCTTGAGTGGGTACACTGGTGACGTTTATTCAACAGACCTTCAGTTCGAATCTCTGCTGGACCGTTGGCTATGCTGGTTCTTCCTGTGGTTTCTCTCAGTTCGTTAGATAAATTCTGGTACGTTTCCTTGAAGTGTACTGCTGCACCTCCAGTGGACGCAATATCTCACTTTATTGGATACTGGAGATGCTCTTCTTTTGATGCACTGTCCTTGAATAATCCCTGGTCCATCACAACTTTTAGTTGCATGTGGTTTAATCGTTTTTATATAGTCTGTGATTAACAAGTTTGGCCTGTGTTGTAGTCGAGAACAATTAAACTTTAAGGTTCCGTGTTAGCTTTTAAATTGTAATGAGTGTGTTTGAAGGCGCGTTTGAAATAGTAAAGAAGTGTTTTGTTTTCTGGATATAACGCCGTATAGTCCATTGAGAATCAACTAACGTTTTGGAGGGACAAGACGTCTCCATCTTCATGGTCGAAGGAAAAGCCAATCAAGAAATCAGCTACTTGCATCATGCTGGTTTCATGCTTGACTTATTCCTCTAACCTGAAGATGGAGATATGTTCCTCCGAAACTTCAGCTGGTTTTGCAAGGGACTGCACGGTGTTATATTCCAGAACATAGAACTCTTCATAACCACCGCTCTGAAAACTTCAAATGTTTGAAATAGTGTTTCGTTATGTTTTCTTTGTTTTTCATCAGAATGGCTTATGTTTGCAGGAATCGCTCTAATTTTACAAATATCTGGCCTAAATCAAGTTGTTTATTGTCTGGAGAATTTTGGGTATGCTGTTTGAATATGAATTAAATTGAGCTAACTGAGGATCATGTTTAGTTTCGAAGTGCTGTTAGGCTATAACCGATGGACGTTCCTGCACTGCAGCTACATGATTCGCTTGGTCAGCTGAGGGGCCGCACCATAGCTCAAGCGGTTATTCACTGACTTCCCACCGCGGCGACCCGTGTTCGATCCCGGGTCTGGTCAAGTGGGATTTGTGGTGGACAAAGTGGCGCTGGGGCAGGTTTTCTCCGAGTACTTCGGTTTCCCTTGCCAATCTCCATTCCACCAATTGCTCCACAATCACCCTCACGTATCATCTGGGGCTGGTATAATAGGCGAGAAGTGGCCGCAGTACAAGGGACTTAGTCCCACCCCACTAGCAATAAAAAAACGCAATTGAAACCCTTATATCAACATTATAAAGTATTCTGTGATGTGACGGTGTAGTTGGGTGGATGTGTAGCGACGTTTTGAAGGATCTTCACTTCCCTGGAGAACTAAACTACGCTTACATAGTGTCACATCCGAGATACCATCCTGAGAGCCTCATATAATACACACGATACTTTATAATCCATTGAAGTCAGGATCATCATCATCATCATCATCATCAGTAATCTGTCAGACGACAGGTCCACAGTCTCTTCCAAAATAATTCCTCCACTAATGCGATATAGAGCTTTCTCCTTCAAATGAAAATATTCTCTTCTGTCTCCAAGGTCATCCAGCATCTTCTTACGTCTTCTTCCTCATCTTCTTGTCACTTCTATCCGCCCCTCTGTCTTTCCTTCAGTAACTTCTTTCAGAAGGCAGTTTCTGCGTAAACCATGACCACTCCAATTAGCCTTCCGTTTTCTTATTTCGTGTAGGATATTCCTCTGCTCACTGACTCTAAATAACACTTCTTCATTTCTCACATAATCGGTCCAACTGATCTTCTCCATCCTTCTCCATTCGANGCTGAGAATTCCTTGTCCGTGGGCAAGTCTTCCCGCTTCTTTTGCTGAATTGGTAAATCGATGGCATTGGTACGAAGCAACCCTCTCTCTTCAGTTCCCCAGCGAGAAGTCTAGCCAAACTTGACTACCCTCCAGCAAGCATAACTCAAGTGCACTCCCCTCCCCAATCACATTTGGCCCAATGCCTGGCACGAGAGAAGTATAGCCACTTTCATGTGTCCCGGAACATGTTAATGAAGAATTTCTTTGCTTCATTTTTTTTTCTGCGTGAAAGTCATTCAACATCATGGTCAGGGCGAAATTCGATTAGTCAACAAAATTAGTAGTAGAAAGAGTCAGAATTTGAGTGTGACTGAAGAAATTTCTTATCTGCAAAAAAAAAAATATAATTTTTGTTCTTATTACCATTTGGTGTAGCAAATCATTCTAGATTTTCTGGCGCAAGAGTGAGAATTAACATGTTTTAAGTAGCTTTGAATACTCTTTTTTTTTTTCTCTTTTCTGAATTACCCAAAATGCTTACGACATAAATCTGAATCTTCAATAAAAATGTTTTCCCATTTCCACAATCTTACGCTTTGTTTACTTATAATGATATTTTTTTTTTTTCCTCAACAAAACAACACATCTCCGTCCATTGATTTTGAAGTAATCCTTCTTTGTTTGCTTTTGTCAGCCGTGGATTCTAGTTATAAATTGTACGATTTCACGTAAAACGCGCGCCTCTATTAATTACTGTGTTTCATATCTGTGCTTTAATGTGCTGTGCGTTATTCAGTAACTAGCTTACAAGATAACGATGCACAGTTACAACGCACTGGGCAACTAGAATCCTCCGGTAGAATTTACTAGCGGTTCGAAATAACGTTCTGTCCCCTTTCTGACGGTGAAGGGAGTAAGGCGTGCAAAGACGCGAGCAGAAAGACACTTACCAGACGGAACTCGGTGAACACCCAATGACGTTCCTTTCAAGTGCTGTCAAAATTTCAACAAAACATATCAATTTTTGCTTTCTCTCTTGTCGAATTAACAGTTATTGGGTGCCGAGGGTGGGTAACACATAGGAACCACCATAGCGCTGTTATATCAGCCCAGGGTTCTCCAGGCGGAAGCATTCCCACATAAATCCATAGAGATCGGTTGTATGGGGAAGTGCTGACATCTGGATTGAGAAATACTGAAAGTGTCTGTTAACCTCATCTATTTGCGTCTCACATACCATTTGCTTTCGGCCTGCCACGTGCCGCTTTTGGGCTGGGGATTCACCATGACTGTTACGGTTTGATTTGAATTCATTCTTTGTATCTTGTTGCATAAATTCAGACTGTTTGGCTGGAAGACGAATTATTGATTTGTCAGTTGACCGTGTAATTTTTATTATATTCATGCTGCAAAGTGAATAAAATCCCAGCAGGATTACTAGAACTAAAGGCCGACGTTTCTGAAATACCGTTGCTTTCAGTTTCACTGTTCATACTGACGCCTCGCTCATAATTAATTCGGTAAGTGTCGCTGAGCTTCATAACTTGTACTCTTCTCCAAGTGTAATTAGATTGATCAAGTCAAGGACGATGAGGTGGGAAGGGCATGTAGCACGAATGAGGGAGAGAAGGATTGCGTATAGGATATTGGTGGGAAAGCCAAGGCGTAGGTGGGTGGACAATATTAAAATGGAACCTAGATATATAGGATGGGATGGTATTAATTGAAATGATCTGGCTCAGGATAGGGACCAGTGGAGGGCTCTTGTGAACACGGTAATGAACCTTCGGGTTCCATAAAATGCTGGGAAATTCTTGAGTAGCTGCAGAATTGGCGGCTCCTCCAGAAGGGCTCAGCTTCATGAGTAAGTAAGTGACGCTGACAGAGAACAGATGGAATTCGAAGTAATGATTGGGTTTGGGACCCGGTTGATACGTATGAAATCTCCGTTCCAGAAGAATTCACTACTAAACTACCCCGTAATACATATGATCGGTTCTCCCGTGATGCATTTGGTGAAACAAATGCGAGCGATACCACCGTCAAGGTTTCATTACACGAAATGTATGGGTACAGTATGGTTATGGAAGGAGGTTTTAAATATTACAAATGTTTTGTTTTGCAGATGGGGAGCCCATTAAACTACCTGAGAACCTGGAGAGCCTTCCCAAGGCGGATCATTTCCCCACACAACGACATCGCTGGAACACCAATGAGGTGAGTATGCAAATTGTAAATTTTCTTAAGTGAAAATGTAATTTGATTTGCAAATGAAATGTTGGGTGCTCTTCAGACAGAGTTTATCTGTTGGGGATTATTAGTGTATGTGAGATGAATATTTTGAGGTTCACTGTATTTTAATTAAAAAATCTACTAGAAAAAATAGCACCGGTTTACATTTGTCTCTGCTGGTAGTTAATAAAATTTGTCCGGTTTTGGGCTGGAATGCCGTGTCAGGGAGTTCTGTCTGCCGCTTCTTGTCGCATTCTTGTGAATTTTTGAAGCTCGGGATTTTCGTATATCTTCGATCTCGTTGGACGAACATATAATCTATATACATGAAGACATGTATTTACAGTCCATCGAAATATTTACGTTTCGTTCCTTGTGCTGATCATAATGATACGCTTTTTTATGTGCTGTTAATGTCGCCAATATTATTATCAGTTCAACGTAAGACGCTCATTCGATTTCTACGGTATTATTCTGCGTGTTCCATATGGTATTTTATAACGCCATTCCTGACCGAAACATTCAAAAGGCCATCCCACCCAACAGTCAAGAATGTATGAAATGCAGGGCTATTATAAATGATTTGGGTGATAAGAAATAGCATATTTTCGGCACGGTTACATAAACAAACATGAAACAACTCGAAAAAACCAAGAAACTCAAGTGTTCCTTATCAACAATGATTTTAGCATGTCAGCCGCGAGTGGCATTCCTATCACTATCAAAGGAATGTGGCGTCTCAAGGGCAAAGGGACCAATGTTGCTTCTGATAGGATGTGCAAGACCAATTCATTGGCCCCCTGGAACCCCGGACGTTACTACATACATGCTACTCCTAATTATGGAGATATGTGAAGACCCACGTATACCAACCTCCGTCGCCGCAGTCGCTTAGCGTCGTGAGCGAAATTCACAGGCCAAAGCCAACGTCCCCTTGCGGCTTCCATGGAAAGGATTCGAATATCGCGTAGACGTTTGAAGAGTAAGTAATGGAGCACATATCGAATATCTCTAGAGAACCCTTGTGTGATTCCCTGCTGTTTGCGTGCCGTTTCGTGTTGGTATCTGTAACCGTTTCGAAAATACACTCATTTCTTATAGCTCAAATAATTTTTAAAAGTTCTGTGTAGTTAATCCTTCCTGATTCAATTAATTAACAACTAATTTCCGTGCAATCATGGGTAACTTAAATAGAAATTATATAAAAACAACAATTCCTCAGCATCTTTATGTTCCTGTTTCTCTTGTTTTTTGTCCCCACCCCAACTTTTCCCCTTCTCATTTTCCTCCATTTTTAGTTCATTTTTCTATTTTTCTCCTTCGTCGTTTTCCTCCTAGTCTTCTGCAATATTTTGGCCCGTATAATTATGTGCGTTAAGCAATAACGCTTGCCAGCTTGCAGTTCGATAGACGTGTCTTACCAGTACTCGGTTTCTTTTGAGTAGAACCTGATCTGTTTGAAGTAAGCGTGGCTGCCGACAACTTCCAGCTTGAGAGCAGGGAAGCGTGCTGCGATAAAGGTTTCTTGTGTAACGCTCTGAAAGTTGATGGATTAGAAACGACGCGTGATAAGACGAATGTGCTGCAGTTACATACTCCCCCAGAGATTCCGGTTATAGGAAAACGATGCCGCTGAAATAAATGGCGTCAGAAGCAGAGAATGCCTTTCCTTTATGGCGATGACAGAATCGTACTTTATGCTCTGAATCTTCAGCTTTAAAACATAATTAAAGAAGAAACAAAATAATAGAATTGTAATGTGTGTGGGTGAGAGCGCAGGAGAAGAATTGGGGAAGAAAGGAGAGAAGGTGTAGAAGGAGTGTTAAAAGAAGTGTGAGACAGGCAAGAGGAAGAAATAGGAAACTGACAAAACGAGACAACAGAGATGGGGGAATAAAAGTAGAAGAAAGAAAGAGCAGAAAAGGAAGGAAGTATGCAATGGAAAAGAACAGATGAAGTGGTTTAAAATAAGGCGAAGACAAGGGGTGGGAACGAAAATGAGCTAAACTTTTATTGTTTAGTCAGCTCTACGCTTTGTATTGTTCACAGAGCCACTACTCCACGGACTGTGACTTCTTCCTGGATACTATTCTCTGAAAGGGATAGGAACTCAAAATGGGGATCTGTCCTTTGATCGAGTTTTGATTCGTGAGAAATCCTGGAGTAAGAGTATTTGAGAAGCGCGGTAAGGTTGCATGAATGAGGCTCAGCTCGTAGGGATGTTTCTGCATCACAAGGCAACATACGGAAACGCTGCCAAACGTACATGTCCTAGCAGGATTCAAACCTGAGGTGCCAGTGTTCTTGCGACTTAAGAGACTGCTTCTGGTCACAGGGAACTACGTTCTGTAGTTTAGCTTACGACACGTTCTCGACTGTGTAGGTCATTAGGAGGATGTGAGGACGGCTGCTGTGGTTGAATCGGGAAGTATGTGGGGGCACTATGCTACCATCTGTGTGGACGGACTGACGAACACAACGAAAGGCATCAGTTTAGCTGATCACCGGCAGAGTCGAATCCAAGATCCCTTCATTACGAAGTAGTAGCATTAACCATGAAACCGCGGATGACCGATATACAAATTTTTTAAGTTTATGCATTATTGTCTGATTCTGACAGAGGCTATTTTTGTTAATGTAGACTATTTATAATTTAAATAACTCTGGCTGTAGCTTAGTTATGTAGCGTACCTCATGATGGCGCGATATGATCCCCCAAAATCACCAGACTCAGCCCCCTGCGGCCCCTCTTTAAGGGACTTCTTAAGGGGTGCGTTTTGTGTGCCCTTATGCCAAACAGCATTAAACACCGAAGATACGTGTTTCATGAGCCGTACAGCAAGTGAACGAGGACGTGCTGAGTAGGGTTTAGATATAACTGGTCTGCCCTTGGGACATCTGCCGAATTAGCGAATGGAACACACATGGAACAGTTGCTAAAATCATGGCAGAATGCATTGCACTATTTAGTATGCTTAACTTTTCATATTCCTGCCTTCATTAAAACCAGAGCTAATCATACACACATGGAAGAGTTGCTAAAATCCTGGGAGAACGCGTTGTACTATTTGGTATGCTTAACGTTTCATATTCCTGTTTTTATTAAAATCAGAACGGTATCATTTTAATATGTTAACTAAGTTAGTTATTACCTTCTATCGTGATGATTGCGGGATTGTTAAATTTTTAAATTTGCATGAATTTGGAACGGCAGAACCGTTGCAAAGTCTTTTGTGATACAGAAGTGAATCACGAAAATGATCAGCACTGAAGCTCCCAGCTCGTGTATTGCAACATTGCGCTGAATTATGAAATACTAACAAATACTTCCTTCGCTCCTATCGTTTCACAAGCCCCTGAAAACCAGCAGCATAAAATTCTTCGGGCTGCTGTCGGAACCAGGCGGTGACTTCCCTTTCTACAGCTTCATCGTCGGGAAAATGTTCAGCCAAAAGATGATGTTTAAAAGGGCCGAACAAATGGAAGTCGCATGACAGGTTAGGTTTTCACAAAGTCTGTGCACGATGGGTGCCGCGCATGCTGACCCCACAGCACAAAATGCAAAGAATGGGTCTGGCATTACAGCATCTCAATCGCTACCATGATGAAAGACACGATATGCTAGCCCGAATTGTCACAGGTGATGAATCTTGCTCCAAGCGATTTCCATTTGTTCGGCCCTCTTAAACATCACCTTTCGGCTGAACATTTNCATGCTGACCCCACAGCACAAAATGCAAAGAATGGGTCTGGCATTACAGCATCTCAATCGCTACCACGATGAAAGACACGATATGCTAGCCCGAATTGCCACAGGTGATGAATCTTGCTCCAAGCGACTTCCATTTGTAAAAGCCGGTTCTCACGGTCTCTTCGCTTGCGGATTTCTTATATTTTTCCTTCTACCCTGAAGATGGAGGCGATACGTTCCTCCGAAACGTCGGTTAACACCACATATACACGGTGCCAAATCCCATAAGACTGCTTTCTTCAGTACTCTTATTTGTTTAAGTTCTATATCTAATTGTAACTTATTTATTAACGTACCTACGTATAATGTAGTTCCTAGTTCCTAATTTGTTTCGGCGCTGATTTATAATTGCTGCTGATGGAAAACACAGGCGGCTTCGGATGTCAAGAAATGGCACTATAATCTGTTTTCGGTTTGTAAGAACATGAAGGTGTTCGGAGCAGAAGCAACAGAAGTTTCTGACCAAGATATGACGTCCGTAGGATGCAGAAGTACTGAACATAATATAGATATGTCATTGCCAACAGAAACACATAAACGATTTTTTTTTCAGTGCGAAACAGGCACAATATGGCGATTAAAATTCTAAACGAGTTGGTGTTTGCTGTGTATGTAGTCTACCTGTAAAGTTACTGTCTCTGTCTCTCTCACATCTCCCCTCTACTCTTCTATTGGCTTTGACCCTACCAGATTCCAATTTGTCTGTTATGAATTACATCAACTTCGTTCCTTGCATGTGGGTCGATCCACCACCATTTTATCAAAAATGATTTATTGGTTACCAGTCAATTCGTCATCGCTAGTGGACGGATAGAAATGACCCTGTGTTGATGGCCTATTGCGCCGCACATGCGCGTCAGCTTCACTGCCGTATTGATGATAATGCTTGTTTACGAAAGGTGAATGGAGAAAATGACAGGAAACGCAGATAGGGAGGGAGGATATGAGCGTGAAGGCTTTGGGATTGAAATGGTTTATATGCTACATCCGAACCGTTACAGTGGCGGATAACTCTCTCGTAGGCGAAGTTAGTAGAGAAGCACATTGCTCTGTTGAGTAATCACATTTTCTTTACTACCGCAAGGATTTCACCCTTTTTAAGCCAATTCATAGGCTCAGAAACTGCTTTGACGTATGTAGTTAGATTCTCAGACCGATGTTCCATACCTTTTACGTTTTGCCAAACTCATCACATAATGTGAACGTGTAATATGGAGGTCATGCCTATCCGCTG